TTCATACCTGGTCGAATAAAAGATGCAACTGTACTCTGGGTTGTTCTCTTCAGTTCTTTAACAATTTAGATTTTAAAAAATCGATGTGTGTTCGAATATATTAGGGTAAATGCCTCTTGATTCTTTTAAACTTTTCCAATGTACATTGAATTTATGACGTCATATTTGCATCTTACATAATTATAGGTATTAAATCAATTTAATTTAAATTTGACAACGTAGGTATTTTTAGTGTCGCGTTATTTAGTCGGATATAGATTTGTATAAAGTTAGGTAGTTAACTGTTTCGTATCTGGTATTTTAACTTCGATACAAAAATTACATGTTTAAAAGATATACTATGTTCAAATCTGATATTTGAAAATATTGATAATTTTGTAAATATAAAATAAACATGTTTTGACTTAACACAAAGTAGATATCCTTTGCTTTAAATCCTTCGCACTGTCAATGGACAGACTATAAATATTTAGTGTCATTAAAAAACTGGCAGTGTTTTTTTAAAGAAAGGACCAGTTTTTCTTGACGGTAATAAGGAACACAGATTCACATACTTAGTTTGTACGTTCTTTTATTTAAATAAGACATATACAGATAGAATTTTATAGATTTCAATAAATTTCGGCAATTAAAATATTTTATTCAAAGATGAGCAAAGTATATCTTTAATTAATACCATTCAACATAAGGTTTCAATTTTAAATCCAATAACATATTATCTGTCTTATTCTTTGAAAGAGTATTAAACCATTGCAAGACGTGACCCAAGATTACGTTACGTTACGTTACGTTGAAATTAAGAAGAAATATATCACGCAATATATTGAATTGAGAAACAGAAACCAAGATGTTAAATTACATTTATAATGCGATTTTCATATTTGTACTTTTGTTTTATGTTTTTAATTTTAGTAAGATTGCTTTTAAAATCAATTTAATTGAAAATTTAAGACCGCTTTTTGTATTGTTTAATTGTTCGAGAATTTATAATGTTAGTTAATCTAATGTCACGGTTAATTGTACGTTAGGTAGATGTCTAAAAATACAGTGATTAAAGAAATGTCAAATTTCGCAATCTTCTAAAACGTGTTTTCGTTTACAATATTCTTTCGTCTCGGTTATTCACCTCCCGGTGTTTCTCATTCGTTCAAGTGCACATAATTAGTCTCGTCTGCTATTATTTCCTCGCTCTAATTAGTCCGTATTGTCGGGCGGTTTTCTACGCGTTGGCAGAGCGATTTTTTCTCCGCGCGGAGTAATATCACTTGGGCGTAACCCCACTGTCAATCAAATTGACAGGCAGGAGAGTGTCTCGCAGCCAATAGAAAAACGCCTTTTTTCCAGCCGTCTATGTATGATTGGTAGATATGATCCACGTTTTTTTCAATTGGATAAATCCTGTGGTAGCGTATACATTTAGGGACTTTCTCAAGACGGTTGATTTTGAAGTGGAAAACGCCGCAAGCTACCAGCTATGTCAGATTATTTCAATAAATATTTACTTACCTACGCATCGTATGTCAATTAAATCTTTTTAAGAGTTTCCTACACATGACCGAATGAATGAACCACAATAAATATTTATAGAAAACGAAATGAGAAAGAATATGAATGCATTTATAACAAACAGGCATTAATGATGTTTAACATTTATCTTTTTATTTATAATTATACAGCATTGCTTCTCTTCTAACCAAAATCTTTCATCAAAATGTTAATGAGTAAACTGCGAGAAAGGCCTGTAAATTCAATCTTCCTTTAAATTGATACTATCTCCTGATAAACACAATCAAACTGTAACTTAATACCACTCGTCGCCATGGCAACGTTTCATTAGAAAAATAGACAGCGTTCACCCTCAGAAAATTGCATTGGTAAGAATTAGCTCAACAAACACAGAAATGAATTAAATCTGATCGAGTTTCTCCCCGATAATAGGGAGGGATTACTTCTTCGCAACATGTAGTGTGAAGCAGACGAGAGCATCTGTGTCCCGTTTTATTAAATGAGGCCCGGGAAGGGGGCAACAAAATTCTAGATTATTTTTCATTGAAAGTAAATTTTTGGTAAACATGTTCTATATTATTATATTGGAATATCAAAATAAAGTTTGCTTTTTATTGCCTTCATTTTTTTTTTAAATAAGTATGTCAAAAAAAATTATTTAAAACATTTGGTTCAAACATAATTTATTTAAGCTTGATTGCGATTGCAACTTATATATATATATCACTTCCATGTCCGCTTTCTGTGACCAACCAGTACTGGTGTTGTATGAAGAAACATGGTCGAGACCCAATTAGGGCTCGAACCCATGATCCCTGGACTGTGAGGCAGACACATAAACCACTAGGCTAAACACCTCCCCTTATTAAAACATTTGATCGCAAAGAACAGAGGCTGTTGCGTCGGATATGCATTTGAGGTATATGTATAGTATGGTGGTTAACATTTGTGTCCTCGGCGATAGACAGTCAGTTGTATAGGCGACAATGTCGACTTATAGTGAACACAGTGCTTTTGTTGTATACAGGTCTATTTACATTTGCCGACGAAATCAATAATATAACACTTCTTCCAATGCATCATCTAACAAAACGGCTCTTGTAAGCGCCATCCAATCATCTCTGGTACTTGAGATGACTTGACCTTGACCTGCTCTGTGTGCTTTTCCCCGTGATGTGCACGCATCTGGGATAGATTATAGGGGTGAACATAATTTTGTGTGCGTATTTGAGTTTATTTATACTTGCCCATGAGGGAGAATTTTAGTTTGCCAACCCGGGAATCGAACCCACAATGCCGAGATTACATGTCTCCCGCCCGTTTTAACCAATGGAGCTATGCGGGCTGGCTCTAGAAGATGCGTTGTATCACTGTAACATATCAAAAACGTCAGGACACCTTACCGTGTCACGTGGTATACTGACGTTTATTTAACCGATTCTAGAACTGTATTTAATTAGTGATGAACGTGATTTATAAAAATCTGTTGCAAAAAGAAATGAAAAATATCAGACATGATACGAAATCCCTTTTTATTTAACCGTTTAACTTTTTCTTTATACAGGTCCTTGACTTTATTGCATTTGTTTTAACGTCTTAGCTTTGTTGTTTTATTTTTGTTCCGGGTGGGGGAAAGAAGGGGGAGAACGTAAGGTCTTGCTTGCAATTTACCATTCACATTTCACTTGACATTAAATGGAAATAAGAAATATAAAGACAACACTATTTTTCGTATGCACTGTTATTTAATACAGAACAAAACTACAAAAAAGTATACAAAATGTCCACCTGAAAATGTCATAAACGTAGTACCTGCAAATGCATAATTATCATGCACTCTTCACTGTAAATATACAAACATGTACTTGATTCTCAAAAGAAACACATGTCAACCTACTATTAAACATTTGATATATACTGACCTAAAACTTTGTATTTTAGAAAGTATGCTTAGTACATTTTAGTATGAACCCTGCGAGAACAAATGACAAAATTGAACTAGACGAACTTCTCTCTAAGAACCTCACACAAGGTGAGTTCATAAAACACTAACGCCTCTGTTCCGCCTATATAGAAATGTTGAATGCTTCACTTTGAAGACAATGGTCAATAAGGGTCAAAGACTAAGTTCCTGGCTAGAGGTATGATGTAAGCAAGTTTCAAGATTCAAACTTATATAATAAATATGTTATGTCAAAGGTCGAAGAAAATGTAATGCACAACGAGACTGTCTGGCCAGCCACAATATGATCCATATAGTTTCCATTGATTCGTAGGCAGAAATATAAATCTAGTACGATCTAAAGGTCACTGATTCTATAAATAGAATTATCAATTTACGTCATAATATTACATATATAGAAAACAATAGTTTCTATAATCCTCTTATTAACAGATACAGCAATAAGACTGTACATCAACTAAATCCCAGATCAGAACATTGATTATACTGTCAGCATCCGTCATTTTGACGTACTTAAGACCGCCTCCTGGGCTCCTATTTTTAGCTGGTCAATTAGAGTTTCAATTATCTATTTCATAAATAGCGGTGGCAAAAGCTAACAAAATATTACATTTGACCGTTTACATATTCTTTCTAAAGATGCACTGAAACATTGAAAAGCTTGGCAACGAGAACTGACCTAGACAATATACAGTAGATTCCTGACTTTCTGATATACATGTATGACAAAATAATACATGTATAGTTCTGTTTAAGAACACTTTATAAATATGCAAAATTTATCAAGTGATTTATCTGGCCACATAACACCGAAAGATGTCTTAATATGCAAGTCGCAGTATTCATCATGTTGAACAAAATAAATCAAAATATTTTATTCTGTATAAGACATTTAATCTATAAAAGAAAATAGAAAATATAGATACTTGGCAAAAAAACAAACAAACAAAAAAACAACCATGAAATCTTTCAAATACATTTTGCAATATTGTTTTTAAAAAAAATCATTTTATTTTCTAAATAGCGAAGTCAAAAATGAAAGAATATATTTATATCAAAATAGCATAAAATTATACTTCTTGCTTAATGCTGTTTATGGAAGCTAAACATACAAATAAAGAAAGATGATTTATCCATTTCTTTAATATAGGAAATGTTTATTTAGTCTTGTTGTTGTTGTTGTGAATGTTGTTGCTATTTTACAAAAAGTTATTACCGTATTATTGCACCAAGCAGAACACAAAATCTTTTACATTGAAGTAAAATGTTTTATGTTGGACATTTTATAAAAAAATACTCATTTAGACATTTACAGTAGCAGTTAAAATATTTGAAATAAAGTCAAAACAACATTTGAGCCGCGTCACGACAAAACCAACATAATGGGTTTGCGACCAGCATGGATCCAGACCAGCCTGCGCATCCGCGCAGTCTGATCAGGATCCATGCTGTTCGCTATCGGTTTCTCTACTTGTTATAGGGTTTGTAAGAGTTTGCGCAGGCTGGTCTGGATCCATGCTGGTCGCAAACCCACTATGTTGGTTTTGTCGTGACGCGGCTCATTTAGTCAGCTAGCGGCTACAGAATCTGCCCATACCACCAGTGCAGACGATATCAGCCAGTACATGTATGTCATCTGATCATGGTCTGCACTATTTCCTACACACTCACTTCATTTTTTTTCCTAAAAAAAAAGGTTTGTCCAGATTCAAAGATGGGCAAGTCTTGTTTTGCTTAATTACAGTAATACCTTAATCTTGTTTAACTAAATTACAGGCATGATATTCGATTAACAACAACTTATATACTTAACAGTTTCATATTTATACAATGACCATCTAAGATAAGAATTACTTGCGTTTACTCCATTCGTTGTGTTGCTAAGAGCATTCTTTCAACCAATTTTTGCATGTTGCAATAAAGAAAATAACATCAGCACACATGAAAAAATAACAAAATAAAATTTCAATAAAAAAGACAGTGAAAATTTATATGACGTCTGACATCTTAACAAAATGTTCACCGTCTTGAAGTTGTATCTTTCACTGTAACTATAAAAAGGCTTTCGTAAACTTATAATATTTATAAAAGTGTTGTACATGTTGTTATGCATATAAAGTTTTAAAATTGATTAAAGATTGTCATGGTATCCATACTTATTTATTCAATATAATGGGTGGAGAGTGCAACTTGTTCAGATTTCTTTCAGAAGTATAAGATAAATTGCCATAGTCATTCTGTTGTCCAAAACTGCTAGTTTGAAATTTGATGTACTGAGCTAGAACTCTTTTCCTTCAAGGATTGCACTGTTTCCTGTTTCGGGTACGATTTTTTTAACATTTTAGTTTTGAATATTTTCCCTTTGGTGTACTCATCTCGTGTTCCATTGTTTGTGAGATCAAGCGGTTGGTCAAAGCTCTGATCATGTGACGAGAAACTACTTCCGGTCAAGTGACCCATGTGCAAATGCGCGTTCATAGGCGGGGGAGAAAAACTACCTAAAATAGTTAATGCATTTGCGGGTGATAACACATTGATAGCGTTTCTATATTGGTCCATGTGCGCATTTGGTATATCTGAGTTATCAGTAGAATAATTCAAACCTTGGTTGCTGTCATATATTCCATATCCACCTCTGAAAGTTTCCTTAGACACGGCACGATTTGAAACCATATCAGCACTTTTCACATTAATATTTTCACTAATAGCACCATTTGAATGAGCATTGTTGCCTTTTACAACATTATTATCACTTGTATCTTTAGTATTAGCACCATCATTGTCTTCATTTTCTACACTTGTGTCAATAACTAATCTTCCACCATCTCCAAAACTATCCATGTTTGGAGAACACGGTAATCCTTGGTTAGATTCATTTACTTTCGGAGTTTCTCCATATAATGGTGTTACAGGTTCTTGCAGAGAACTAGAATTAACTGATGCCTGCTTTTCCTGTTCAACGGCACCATTAACTTTATTTTGAATGTTAACCATATCTCCTTCAGCCTGTTTCATGGGTACTTCTGTTTTTGTGTTCTCCTTTAAGTTGTCGATTCCAGTGTTATTGACTTGGTCAATGTTATCACTTGTGTTGTCTTCCTTAAGTCTATCGTTCACAGCACTTTGTTGTGCAGTTCCATTTTCTAGATCTTTACATTCTTCAACTTTAATGTCTTCTTTCTTTTGACGTTTAACTTCTCTACAGTTTTCATTGGAATTTTCTGCTTTGTTCTTCCGTACATACTTTCGTTTCACTTTCTCGCCATTTCCTGATTTGTTCTTAGTTAAGGCCACTTTGTCACTGTCAACATTCGTATTTGCTTTAACTATGCCTTTTTTATTCGGAGTGTCAGCTTTCGTGTCAGCTTTTTTCGGGGTTTTGTTTCCTTTCGGGGACTTTAATCCTGGATGGGTTTTAGACACAACTAAACTATTTTTTATTTCATTATCATCTTTGTTCTCAACAGTTTTAACATTTCCTGTTTTCTCAATGGCAGATTTATTCTTGCTTCCTTTCGGTCTGCCTCTAGCCTTTTTCACAAAACCGGATTCTTCAGACTGGAAATCAAACGTTTTGTCTTTCTTTTTATCACTGGTTTTATCATCTTTTTCAGTTGTAGGCTCGATCCTAACTTGGTTTAATGGCTGGAACAGGGACAAAGATATTGACCCAGAGCCTGGGCTAACTTGAGCACTCGACTGTGTAGACGATGACGTTTCTTTATCGGTTTGTATAGCACCATTTTTATCACCTTTTTCACATTCTGTTGGAGTGTTTGTTTCAATATTTATATTTGTAAGTATTTCCGTATCACATTTTTCTTCCTTTTTACTTTTACCTGTCGGTTTTACGACATTTTTCACATTTTCTTTCTGGTTGCCAACATAATCACACTCGTCTTTGTCATTTTCAACATCAACATCTTTCTCTGAACAATCTGTGTTTATATCACTATTTACACTTGCTGTTTCACTTAAACCATTCCTGACATCACCAGAACAGTCCAGTGTAAGTTTAGCCAACTGCTCTTCTGATTCCGACATGGCTTCTTTAACAGAATCATTCACTTCAACTAACATTTTCTTTGGGCGTTTCTTTGGTGTCCCCAATCCTTTTCTTCTTTCACCCTTGTACGGTTTACATTTCTCAAAATCTAGATCAGGGCTTATGTCATCAGGACCTAGTTAAAACGAAAAACACAAATTATTAAACTTTTTTCTGTTTGCATAACAGTATATTTCTGTTGACATTGCTAATTAAAAAATTTCATGTACATTTTAAGAAAGCAGCATTGAAAGCGAAATATAATACAGCATATTTCTGTTCTCGTTTGCTGTTCTCGAGAAAATAGTGAAGTGACGACAATAAATGTGCTTTGAATGTTAAGCAACATGAATTTCCATAATAGCTTTAAAACATCTCCGTGCCCGAAACGAATACAAATTTTTTTTTCGAAAATCCTAAAAATATTCAAAGATACGTTTCTTGTTTAAAATTCAAAATCCTAAATTTACGAATTAAACAGGAAATCCGCCTATGCAACAAATTTAGAACGTTTAAACCACTTTGATTAATACAAAGGACAGAAGTGTTTCTCATCTGATGTCATTCTTTAGAAGGTATTAGATTTCTTGAGTGAATTCAAATATTATTAAACTTTTTTCTTCAATAATATCAAGTTCGCGACATAGCTAGATTTGTAAAAAACAGTGTAGAATTATTACCTTCAAGAAGTTTCCTTTTCTTGTTCATATGTTTATCTTCTGCTTTTGTATTTTTGCCGGGAGTCGTTACCCGTTTTTCATTGTTTACTTTATTGGAATGGTCACGTGATATTGGATCCGGAGCTTTGGGTGGGAGCGTCCTTACAAACACGGTGTAGTACAGTCTTAACGGAGCCCTCTAAAATTGTATATAAAAGCCATTTATAAACAACATCATTACTTGCGTTTTTTTTTCTAAATACAAAACAACATTGAAAAAGGGCCATAAGAATATTAAGGTTATTTAACAAGTTGACGGGGTATATACCAAGGAAATGATGATATATACACCAAAACTACCATGTCAACTATCTTACTAAGTCGAAAGTCGGGGATCGATTTTCGTATAACCAAATGAGAAATCTAATTTCTCAAGTTGAATATATTTTTCTGTAGCCAATGATACTGAAATAAATACAGACGACATAACAGGCGAATCAATAAATTGTCGTCTGCTAATGACACAGTTCTGGATTGGAACTATCAGTAACAGTTACTGTTTTAATGAGACCTGGAGATTTGAGAATATTGAGTATAAAGAAGTACGAACCGCCTGATTTAAAACAGTTACTAGAACTTTATTAAATGTGCAACAACATTAATTTCTGATAGATATTTGCGCAATGTCAGATAATGAATATATTAAGAAAATATATCAAAATAGATAGGATAGAATGTTTTGTTCTGACGTCACAAAAGAAATCAAACCAACAAATCCTAATATTGTAAATGATCTGATATAACACGACTGCTGATGTTCTAATTAAAAAAAAATAATGCATGAACAATTTCCATAATGAAAGATGCACGAGTTTCTCACCCTCGTCCACGTGTAAATGTATGCTATATCCATCAGAGAATAGTAATCTGGTAGAGGCTCGGCCGTGTGGAAAATGTCAATCTGTAAGTAAATAAAACAATGTCAGATTTAAACAAAAATCAACATATGTAAAATATCAGGATTTCTGAAACATTATAAACCTGATAAATAACTTTGGTTTATAAATAAATATGACAGGGACATAAATCATTGAGAAAAAATATGATTTCTTCAAAGAAAAGTAGAAAGAATTGCAATGACCTAACATTCTAAGTACTGTGAAGAATTATTATAGAAAAAAATGTATCTCTAAATAATTTCTCCTTGTATGATAAAAGTACTAAATTACAGGAATATCTATCTGTTACAAAAGAATATTCCTGAGGCTTTAAAAATGATTTTAAGTGTAAACGGCAAAAGAAAGTGAGAAAAGAAAAGAAAAGAACAGAACAGAACAGAACAAACAGTTTATTCAAGACTTGTACAATAAGTACATAATCATTATACATATACATAAATAAATAGTATATATGATTTGATGTCACAATGGAAAATAGCACATTATCACAAATTCATATTTTGAGAGGATGAACTGTATTTAATTATAAGTAATAGAAGTTCTATGAGAAAGTGCGAGTTTAATATAACAAGCAAGATTTTTCAAAATAATCTTATTTTTTGAATTTAACAACTCTACAAGTTTAATTACACTTGGATTGATATAATAATAACGTTTAATATATTTTTTTCTAATATTATTATAGCAAGGACATATAAGTATTAAATGATATTCATCTTCAAGGTCCTGTGTATTACAGTATGTACAATAACGCTCATTTCTAGCAACTTCTATTCGTACCATATCTACCTGTTTGTATACGTAATGAATGAGAAGACATTCTTATTTTACTAATAAACAACCTTAGGTTACTAGGCAGTATATCTAGTATGGCTCATACAAAAAAGTATCCTTAAGGTTTGTATACAATGTTAAAAACACCACTGTTCTCCTTATCAACATGCCAACTTTGAATAAAAGTGTCTATCAGTCTCTGTTTAAACAAAGGTATAAATGATTTACTGTTAACAATAGTAGGATCATCCCAAACATAGTTGAAACCATATTGATATAATAAATTTTTTACCTTAGTTAACCAATTACTTTTACCGTTATTGCAATCACTGAGACACAAATTATACACTTCTTTGAGAATAATGTTATCTGTTTCAAGTAAGCGAAACTAATACTTAATTATCTTAACATATCAGTCAATATACAGTGGGTAACGAGCCGGTTCACCATCAACAGCTGTATTTGAAGTTCTTATATTAACATATAATATTCTTTTATAAAACTTTAGAAGTATTCTTTCAATTTCTTTAGACTTACTGTGGCCCGAAATCTCAGCTGCATAATTTAAGATTGATCCAACAAAAGTGTCAAATAGTTGACATAATAACTTCGGTTTAAGTTTATATTTATTACAATTTATCAGTAATACATGTAACGCTTTCAAAGCTTTACCAGCAAGCTGTTCCTGATTTAATGCAAAATTACCAGAATAATTAAAAACTGTACCTTAATTATTGAAATCAATCACAACCTCTAGGTGTTTGTCAATTTACAATTTTTTTCAGAAGACAACAAACCACCTCTCTTCCTAAAACCATAACTTTAGTCTTATCTACATTAACCTCTAGACTCAACTTTGTACAGTAATTGTGTAATAATAAACTAAACTATTGTTTATTTCCTCAGGTAAATTGCCTAGAATGGCTATATCGTGTGCAAAAAGCAACAATATCAAAATAATATCATTTAACTCTCAACCACAATTTATATCATGCTGCAAAAATAACTCAATATCATCAATAAAAAGAGAAAATAAAACCGGCGAAATTATCTCCCCTTGACGTAAGCCTACAGCATATTCGAAAAACTCTGAATAACTATTACACACTTAAATACATGATTTAACTTTATTGTACATATCCTTAACAATACGCAATAATTTACCCCTAATACCTGATTTATGTAATTTTAACCAAAATGCATTTCTATAAACACTGTCAAAGGCCTTTTTAAAGTCAACAAATACGCAATACAAACGTTTATTGTCGTTAATATATTTCTGAACAATAGATGATAACACAAATAAAGCATCAACAGTAGATTTGCCTTTTCTAAACCCAAACTGGGCATCTGACAGTAAACAATTTTCTTCACAATAGCTATAAATTCTTTTATTTATAATAGATGTAAATATTTTTGACATACAGCTAACTAAAGTTATGCCTCTATAATTATTTACCTCATTCTTATCTCCCGTTTTATGCAAAGGAATTATTACTCCTTCAGTCCAATTATCTGGAAAATACCCGCTATCAAGTATTTTATTAAATATATCACATAAATGTGAAGACAATATATCAATCGACTCAATAAAATATTCATTCAATAGAAAATCGTGTCCGTAAGCCTTTCCTCGTTTCAAGGAATTGACAGCATCTATAATTTCATTAACAGATATTGGTCGATCTAAAAAGTCATCAGCATCATCACTAAAATTGAAATCTTGAGTTGAGGCAAAATCCTCAGATTCAACATTAACATTTTGAAATATATCATTTCCTAGTTCAGAAAAATATTTGAAAAATGACTCTAGGGAAAGATTATTAGAAACAACATTTTTTCTTTTAAAATATTTCCAAAACTCCTTTGGTTTTGACAACCTTAAATTTTCAATTTCCTTAACTTGCTTGAGGTTATAACAATTTCGTTTTCTCCTCATTATAGCCTTATACTTAGCCTTTAACAAGCATAATTGTTCCCTATTTGTTGGAGATTTAAAACGGTTAAATTTTGACAAAGCATCTATATACAACTGCCTAGACTGTTCACATTCACGGTCAAACCATGACTTGTTATTAACAATATTTGTCTGGCTAAACGAGACAGCTTTTTTAATAGTAACATTTTGACGAAATAACGGATCCGTTACATCATGAATAATAGACGTAAAATTTAACAACATATTATTTATTGACGATCTATTTTGCAAATCGATATTACTAGTCACATTATTTAAAAGAGGTAATTTTGTTTTATAAGACTTGATCTAAAATGATTTTTCAAATCTGCAGACCATCTATAGTTAACAAAAGTTTCATTATCATAAATACAATTTTCAATAACAATATTACAATGTAAACTAAAAGAAATAGGACAGTGGTCACTCCATTCGTTAAAATCATGAATAATAAAATCGCTCAGGCTTGAAAAATTACCAGGTTTTGTTAATAAATAGTCAATAATAGACGACCCTAGCCTCGAGAAATACGTGCAATTACCGATCATATGATCACTGAATAAAAGAAAAGAAAAGAAAGAAACAACAACCAAAAAAAAAAAAAAAGATAGGTCACTGACCTCGAATTTCATTTTTAGATCAAACTTCATCCTGATAAACTTCTTTAGATTACCTATCGAGAACGCAGCTGGACATTGTAAATAACGGACGTCTTTTATCTGAAAAAAAGATATCAGTTTTATTTTCATTTATATTTACTTTATAATTTCCTAGTAAAAAGAAGTTAGCACTGACATAAATAGCAAAAAAATTCTGTTTACTGGTGGATTTCGGTTGAGCTTTGCATTTCAAGTTGCTCGAAAATCGAAATTCATCAAATATCTAGTAGATAACTTTCAATATTGTGAAATATCGGTACAGAAAAATGTTGGTAGGTAAATATTGTGATATAGGCATCTTTCGTGGCAGACGACTTTTTGACAATTGAATTAAACGAGAAAAAAAATCAATCATTCTTTCAAAATTAAAATACATTGTTTTATCATTTCAGTGCAGAATCTACCGGTTTTATACATACTAGAATTATTTTCATCTCGCAGCAGACGAGTTTTATGAGAAACCAAGCGTCTAGTTATGAAGAGATTTCTGCAGACCACATGTGAGTTATTAATATACTCAATATGTACCAAAGCTTTCATAAAAATATAGTATTTAAAAAAATAAATGTATCTTGCAATAGTACAATACAAAATTGGTACATGTACATATGGTAGAGTACGCTACTATAGATAATTATATTCTAGAATTTCGCAAGATTTACCTTTATTGCACAGTAAATAGTAAATAATTAGCAGACGACTTATGTCACCTATGTCACAGCAGACGACTTAAACAATCAATACTGAAAATTTAATAAATGCTACATGAGTTCATTAAATAACTTTACGTCTTAAGCCGGTGCTAGGGGGCGTCGACAGTAGCGAGCAATTACCACTACCGTCCAAGAACTGGTTCAATCAAACCGAGCCTGCAACATTTTCAATTTTGCCGTCGAGTTGGGTTTTCTTTAGGGATTCTGCTTGTCACCTTTTTAGTATACAATTAATATACAGTGTATGTATAAAAAACAACAGAAAGACAGATTTTTTAACAGAGATCATTTCCATTACTAGTAGTTAGAATTCAACTCTATTAACGTACCCGGATGTTTTCAGGCCCTGTGTGCCCATGTACATTGATCGGGGTTTTAAAAGGGATACCACTGGAAGAAAAAAAATAATGTGAACTTTTTTACATTCATAGATATATAAATATCAGCAAAATAAATGATAAATAATCATTTTTTTATTCTTAAATCTATACGATATTCAATAATAATAGAGTAATTGCAGTTACACAAAAGTTTTTTTCCTAGAACCATACAAAATCTTTAAGAAACTCGTTATAGCTGAGTATAATTTGTTGTTATCATATTTGTTATAAACAAATACAAAAATTTACATACTCTGCACAGAGCTCAAGGGACAAACTTATTTTCTCATCTTCCGTGTAAATTATTCTGTCAAAGAATTCGTCCCCTCTGTCCTCACTAGGAGGCTGTGATACTAAAAATAGATAATGACGTCATATGAATAATAATATATCCTTCCCATTGACAACGTGGTATTTGCATATATATACAGATTACTTCTGTCAAATTTCATAAAATATGTAAATAACTGCATTGGTAGCCCGACTTACAGATTTGTAATACTTAAAAACATTCAAATAATCCTGTGACAGCAAATTTGTGTAAAGTTTTAGTAGAAAAAGGATGGCTTCAAGCTATTCATTGTAAACAAGAATTTTTTTCACACATATTGCAGTGAAATGGTCGGATCATAATGTCTTTGCTCCGTACTGAAATCAACTTAATAACGAGTGGTCTTAATTCTGGGGTAGTCTTAATTCCAGGGTGGTCTTAGGTAGAGATTTCCACTATATTTAATGGCATTTCTTCAACCGAAGTTTAAAAACGTGTCCTTTATCTTCTACAGTAACAAAGTGATACATTTAGATTCAGAGATAATTTTCTGACTATAAATGGCCAAACATAAAAAATAAAGCTCGATAAGATGAAAGAATTACCTCCAGGAGAATCTACAACAGCATAATATTCCCGGCGACGTTTCATCTCACCTGAAAATACACCAAGATACACTTGATTCAAATGACACTTCTGTCTATATGTTGCTTGTTTATTTACACTTATTCTGTTAATTTTTTAGTCTCATCCATACTGTAAATGGCATATGAAGGTTCTTCAGATTTACTTGCATATGAAGATCTCAGGCGCCCTTCTGTATATTATTTCAGGCACGGTCGGGCACCTTAGTAGAACCACCGACATTCCGCAAGCTAGATGGATAGTTTCCTCACATGAAATAATTGAAGTCTTTTATTGGATTCGAACCCACAGCGGTGAGCAGCGAGTGACTTGAAGTCAGCAACATAAACCACTTGGCCACCATAAACTTATCAAGAAACGAAAACGCAACATAAAGCGTGATTGTCTGCTGTTAAAGCATTAGTGCCTCTTTACTGACTACTTGTAATTTAAATATTTGACAACTTGCAATATATGTTTAATTGATCACTTTTCATGTTATATTGATTTAATTTGCGGATGAATCTTGTTTGATTAACTGCCACTTCTTTTGTTGGTTGGTTGGGTTAGTTTGGTTGGTTGCTTGGTTGGTTTAGTTTGTTTTGTTGTCGGTTGCTTGGTTGGTTGGTTTAGTTTGGTTGGTTGGTTGGTTTAGTTTGGTCGGTTGTTTGCTTGGTTGGTTTTGTTTGGTTGGTTGGTTTAGTTTGGTCGGTTGTTTGCTTGGTTGGTTGGTTGGTTTAGTTTGGCTGGCTGGTTGCTTGTTTGTTTGTTTGGTTGGTTTAGTTTGGTTGGGAACTCAAAGCTTTGACATTCTCCCTACTGAGTCAATCGAGTAAACCAAACCTACATTCTATCTTATACACAACAGAAATTTAAGAAAAATATTGTTGATAAATGTATATTACCAAGAACAACTTAAAGAATTTTGTACTTACTTTTATAGAGACCTGGAACCAACTTATAAACTAGATCTTGCAGCGTTTTATCTGATCTACAAGGGACAAAAAATGGAAATAAAATCAATAATTTGATAACACACAAAATGCTTTGATATTTTCCAGAAATAATCAAGGATTGTTATTCATGGGTTTAAGGAAGATCATGTCCGTGATAAAAGAAGGCATTGATTATTTTCTTAGACTATAATAATGTACGAACTGATTAGGACTGTTTGAAATTCTGTATCAAATAGAACTTATATAACTAACAAAGTGAAGAAAGATTCTTTATAAGATAGTCGAAATTAAGTCTTTGGTACATATACATATATAACCTGATAATCCTAATAAATTGAAATGATCCCCTCAGCATCAAATAGACGCTTTCATCCGTTCCAATACAAGCGCCTGATAAAATCTGATTTTTTACATGAAAGCACATACGCGGTAATGAAACATGAGTTTTACTGTAGCACATGTTAAACTCTGAGTAGTTACCGTATATAGTCTAGTGGGCGTGTCTTGTGTACCATAACATCACAGACTGGGCAGTACTTGCTTGTTTCTAGGTAACGTGTAATGCACGTGCGACAAACTGAAATAAGAAATTAAATAAAGCAATTAAAACATTACTACATTCATTGCAATTACTTTATACTCTTAAATCACTACATGACTTTGTCAAGTCAGCAACAGAAAATATTTTATAAATGTTTATGAACAACGCAAAAAAGCACTTTTCTTAAAACAAATAAAGTTCTCCATTCGATATAAGCAGATAAATTATTTTCATCACCCTAATATCATATTACCAACAGTTTAGTGGATACAATCTGGCTATAAATAATTGCGAATAAATGTTCTTGCCTCATAATAATAATAATAATAATAAAGACTTTATTTAACGAGAGAACTCATTTGAACAATCATATCAATCTTCCATGAGGCCCTCAACAAGGAACAATATAAAATCATGAATTCATGTATGATAAAAATTCATGAATGCAATTTTTCTATATGTACAGACAAGTTTGGTAGTAAACTTCAATCAGTGATATATTTGATGCGATTTTATCTTATATTTATCTTTGTAATTTTACCGACTTGTAAATTTATTAATTTCTCGTTACTATTTTTGTAACATTACAATGATTTTATACTCACATTTTTAAAAGACGTTAAATAACGCAACATTTTAACGCATACTGATACAATTACGCAACGTCAAAATACGTTTGCACACACACACATTTATCTTAATGTGTACTTATAAATATTTATATCACATACATTGTACAAAAAACACCACCAGTTTGACATACGAGTACAAACTAACGCAGGCTTTCATTGCGGCATCGTTTGCCACACATCTTATCATAAAGGTTCATAAATCATACACGACAGGGCAATTAATATTTTCTTACATATTAATGATGACATTTATAGACGCTTTAAAACAACTTCAATAACATAAATAACTTATTCTTTACTAGCTTACTACAAACAGTTCTCGTCATGCAAATTTCTCGAATTTTCTCCTAGATACCCTTGATTTTGGATGGAAAATATCTATACAGAAATTAACATATACTAAGAAATCTAAATAAAAGGCGATTTAAGATTAGAAGCGTATTGTTAAGACTCCTTGAACTTCTGAGTTCATTAACCGAATGGAAGTTAAATGTATGCGTGTGTTTTAAATGGATAGCCTGATTATAAGAGTATTGTACATCATTGACCTAATTTATCCTAATTCTATATATGTATATATACTCAGCAATTAGATTCATTCTTCTGCTCTTACTCAAACATATAAGCAATATTAAAATTAAATCTTCGAATGTTCAATTACTTTCATTCTTTGTGTTTAACGTTAACTTTGTAAACAAAAGCACAAATGTATCTTTGATTTGAGAATTATTCTCGATATTTCAAGCAGGCTAATTCAATACATTTTAAACATAAATAAACATCATTAATTTTACCTTTTTTTCAATTTTAACAAATGAGGAGTTCAAAAGTATAAAACTTACAAGAATGTAAACATTCTGTTATCGTTGTAGCATTAATATAGTATCCACCACAGAGCACGCAAATTACATGCGGATTCAATTCTGTTATCTTTATCCGGGTAGTTCTGTTCATCTGAAAATAAAAACAAAACTCATTTAACGTTTGTGTACATGCATCAAAATAAAGAAAATAATAACTATATTATTTCATGTTCAGTTTTACTAAATTTTACAAATTAACAAATATATTTCTACAGACCAAGTGTTGTTAAATTTATAGAATTTATGAAATCTGTAAACAATTCTGTAGTAATAAAACCATGCAAATTTATATGAGAAGCATTTATAATAAGACAAAACATTGTAAACAACTATACTTTGTCATATGTAAGACTATTACATGTGTATATATTTTATATTCTAATTTTTAACGTTACATGTGGTTTTGTAATTAAAATATCTGAATAGTGTGATGTAAATGTATTGTAAAAATGCCTGTGTTAGATATTTTCTAACTTCATGCTGTGTATACATATTTTTAAAAATTTTACATAGCTCATACCCTCTAATATGCTCATTATGCTAACTTGTTTACACCGAGTTCAACTGTCCATGTCTTTTTTTGTATATGACATGTGTAATAATAATGATATGTTCGTGAAGTATGTAATATTATGTATATATGTTAATTGCATCATGTAACAGGAAACATAATTTGTTTACTTTACTTAAAAATTGAACTTGAAATTGCCGAAATTTGCAATGTGCATCTACGTATTCAAATAAAGACATAATTATGTCAATAGAACAACAACATCATAAAAAAACTTCGACAATATGTATAGGAAAGAAATGAAATATCGAAATAATACACATATTTTCAAAGCAAGTCTAAAATTCCAAAAACTATAAATAGCCACTTATCATATTGGCCTAAGTAGAAGAGTTATGAAATTTACCATATTGGCCTAAGTAAAAGAAATATGAAATTTATCACATTGGTGTAAGTAGAGGAGATTTGAAATTTATAATTTGGCCTAAGTTAAAGAGAAATGAAACGTATCATATTAGCCTAAGTAGAAGAGATATGATATTTATCATATTATCCCAAGTAGAGGAGATATGATACTTATCATATTAGCCTAAGTAGAGGAGTTATGAAATTTATCATATTAGCCTAAGTAAAAGAGATATGATACTTATCATATTAGCGTAAGTAGAGGAGTTATGAAATTTATCATATTGGCCTAAGTCGAAGAGATATAAAATTTATCACATTGGCCTAAGTGGAACAAATATGAAACTTTTATTGAAACATATTGACTTAAGTATAGAGGGAATATAGAACTCATTATATTGGCCTAAGTAGAAGCTATAAAACTTACCATATTGACCTTAGAAGTAGAGATATGAAATTTATCATATGAGCTTTAGTATAACAAATATGAGAATTTTCAAATGGCCTAAGTAGAAGATGTATGAAATTTATCATACTGGCCTAAGTGGTAAAAATGAGACTTTATATTGACCTAAGTAGAAGAGATATAAAATTTATCATATTGGCCTAAGTGGAACAAATATGAGACTTATCATATTGGCCTTAGTAGACAAAAGGAAACGTGTATTCTACAGACAACGTGTTTTACGTGTTTTTAACACCGTGTTTTCAACAAACGTCGTATTTTTGTCTCATCTATGAAATATAACATAAAATATTATACAAATATGGACTTTTATGCTGTTGAATATGATGTGATATGAAATATGCTATTTTATATGAAATTTATCATATTGGCCTAATAAAAGATATGAAATTTATCACTTGCTAATGTTATGAATTTATGAGCTTTTCATAGGCTGCAATCCTATTTTCTAAAAGAGGACATGAAACTTAATATATTGCTAATTTGACCGTATATAAAACTTCAATTGTCTTAGAGAATATAACAACATATTGGCTTAGTCATACAAATATGAGTTTTTCTGTAAGGAGATTTAGAAAATCATATTTTGGAAAAATAACCTTAATATTGACCTGGAAGAATATATTTTCATAGGATAATGACTACTGAATATTCATTGCCTGTTACGTGTTTTTAACAAAACTGTTTTTTAGCCAACTAGACGGTTCAAACATCAAGCTATTTATGTTTATTATAAAAACTAATAAAAAATAAAATGAACGTCATGAACATGGTTATATTTTAACACTAGAGTGTAATAACATATGACGTTAGCGAGGGCGATATTCGAGCGTGAAAAAAAAACTCTACACCCACGGCGTGTGCTCGTAAATTTTATTAAATCACACCATTAAACTGTACAAACCATTCATATCTCAAAACTATCTTTCTAAGCAATATACTTTCTTGTTTATTGGTTGTAAAAAATAATGATTTACATCCCTTTTCGCCTAACTACAATTTTCGTTTTTGGTATGGATCATTTGAATTTTTTCATCATTATTTATTTTTATTATTTATTTTTATTTAATTTTTTATTTATTTCAAAAGAATTAGCAAAGAGATTTTTATCGAATAAGTTTTTATAACATTATATACAGGGACGCGAAGATTAGTTGAAGTTCCGAACAACATTCAAAAACACCATTAATTAGATGCACATGTGAACATTAAATGTCCAAAATTGAATGATGTAACCGACCCGCTACAACATTGCCATCACTTTTTAATGATTTAAATACTTAACTGACAGAATTAATACGTTTATTTGTAAAAAATATAATTTATAATGGGAACTTTTCAGAAAACATTTTTATATTAATTTCTCCAGCCGACAACATATAACTATCCGGCTCGCATAATTTATCGGCGCCACTGCTGTTGTTACGCGACAATAAGATCAAAATAAGACACGGTGTCACATATATCTTCGTTTTAAAATGCAAACTTGTGCTCAATTCAACAATATAAGGAACTATTTATAATATTTTACAAATTAACTACAGATATTTCATATTATATTTAGGTAATTAGCGTCGAACTGCGCCAGTAAATCACTGCGCATGTCAGAGAAGACGCCATCTAGTGTCCAAATTATAATGTACGCCATGAAATGGTAATAAATCTAACACTTAAATCACAATTAGTCGACAAAAGGTGACCATGTTGTCTCGTACCAAGAAATGAAATTTTTCATAGTAATTTATGTGTACGATATATCCGAGGTTATAATATATTTTCTCTTTTGTGTCCTCTAACTTCCCTCTATACACAAAACCGCCTAACTTTGTCATACGCATTCCAACTTAAACATGTCGTTAATACGTTATATATCTAAGTGAACATCAGTTAAAAAACACTAAATAAATCGAGCATGTTTATTTCGGTTGATAGCAACTTTTGAAAAATGTAAAATATTTGAATATTATATAATTTTATATAAAATTTTGTAAACATTATTTTTTAGCTCTTCAGTATCATTGGTGTAAAAAAATACATACAAAGAAGAGTTAAAAAATAAATAATTTACTTACTCGAGTGTTAAAGCTCCACCTCTCATTTTTTGTAAACTATGTAAAATCCTCATAAACAATGAAAATAATCTTTTTTTTCTCTTTTTTTTTAAGTTTATAAACTAAAAAATTAAATGATTAAATCACAAATCAACCAAGTTTTCAGACGTACGCTGTGAACAACATCTGTTCGTAAAAAAAGACGAACCAAAGTTTTGGTCATAAATTCCCAGGTTTAATCACTATATTTAATAAATCCAATGGTTTTCTTACGGGGCTCTTAAATTTCATTTCTTTTATACAGCCTTCACGAGCTACGTGTTTTTGACTGAATGAAAGATGAAATACAGTTGAATAAATTAGCACAGTCCCTAGCACAAGTAGTTCTAGCTGTAACGATGATAAAACGTACGATGAAAGAAAAAACGTTCAGACATCGCCCTCCCAGCTTGTAGCTTTCCTACACTGTGGTGTATAAATTAAAGCGGCAGTCTCGTATATTTAAATTGTTGCGTGTAAGCATATGAAACCGTATTATAATTTAATCTTTTTCCAGTCCTAGTAAAAAAAAAATAAAGTACAAATCGGCAACATAGAGAATTTCCAACAATGAAAGCATTAAAGTCGTCATATAAAGTCTTTAAAATTGGGATTTCAAAGCAAACAAAAAATATATCAGTATTTTCTTAATGGCAAAGATATGTTTTATTTTGCAAATAAAAAAGTACCTCTTTAAAATGTTTTGCATAGGATGTGTACATGTGAGGTGGAAAGCTACTTGACAGGTAAATAGTTGTCTTTTTACAAATTTACAATTATTTAGTATAAGTGTACAGTAATCATTTTATTATATTTATTACATGTTTTTTATTTTATTATATTTTAGTGTGTAATAGTGTAATAAAGACCGTATTACACAGTCGTGTTCTGTTGGGCTAGGTTTAAATAAATTTGCAACTTTAATGACATAGACTTTATGATTATTATTCAAAAATTACTGAATATAAAAAATATATGTAAATATACTAAATTATACAATAAGCAATGTTGCAGCTTGGTCATTTGATAATTTTAATGATCATGATTTCAAGGTTTTTCATTCCAATCAAATCTCTTCCAGTAACAAAATCATTCCATCGCTAACAATGTAAGTTCTAATATCCAATCAAAATGCATGCAGTTCTTTCTTTTCAAATTTATATACACTTAAATAGGGTTACTTAACAATGCATCATTTCAGACTTTCTACAGTATGGAATTTTTATGACATTTATCAGTAAAATTTGCTTTAAATCTCCATAACAACATATTCATAATGATTATAACTAATTTATGTAAGTGTGCTAAATAGTAAAATAATTTAAAGTAAACTAAAATGCATTCATTCGTGCTTAAATTAGTCGCCTAGAATCCACATAAATGACATAAAATTTGCAAAGACATGCAAAAATGGATCAAGTGCTGTTCGGAACGGGGTAGAAATCTGGTGATACTAAATCCCTCCATTTTTTTATATATAACATGAAAACCATTATATGGATAGTTAATATTTTATACATATCTTCAAGTCAGAAGATACAATGTACATGTATCACGATGTGTTCCCACATCTGGGGGCGTCCTGCTTTAAACCCAGACTGTCGAAAAAATAAAAACACACATCGATCAAGACATTATCGCTTGATCAACGCTCTTTTAGAACGTCAAAGAAATTCAAATCACATATAGCTCTGGGGTAAAACGTCATTAAATACACATTATTAAAACACATACGTATCCTAGATTTCCCCTCATTAGCGCGAATAGATCGCACAGTTAGGCAAAATGAAGAAACTCGTTAGATGAATGGAGACCACCTAATGTAAATCGGCCTCACTGTGTGGGTTGGAAGCAGATTCCGCGTCAGCGCCGCGTCGTTTCTATAGGAGATAGGGCGCCGACATGATTGTCAGGCATTGCGAGTTTCTAAGAATCTCCCCAAAACAAAATGAAATAAATAATATAGTTAGGATTCTCTTTTGTAACGGAATATCAAGTATAAACAATTCATTTAACTTTATTTCACTTTATGTGGCCATCATGCATCACAATAATTCATAACATATAATTCATCTGTATGTATACAGTTATTAAGTAGTTACAATATAAAAGTCTCTGGAAATCAAAAAGCTCAACGTGACTGGGTGTTTTAAAAAGCAATTATCTTTTCTGTATCTATGTCCATAACACAAAATCTCTTTTATTTTAATTTGACTTACTTTATTATACCTTGCTTTGCATTTACTCAATTTATATTGGTCTAGTTTGACCCTCAACAACGTTTAGTACATGTATATGATGAAGGTCACGCAATACACGAACGTACAGACGGACATATAGACGATCGACTAGTCAGGTGCATATATGCACTCATGCTACCCCGTTGTGCAAACGTTGGTCCACTCAAAGCACTTGCATTTACATAAACAACTTTAAATATCTGTACTTCTGAATAAATATCTTTTTCATTTATCAATGAAATGCTTTTGCCGCGGTGTTCGAGAAATTTATCAATTATGTAAACGATTGTAAACAGCTGAAGGAAAACATTATATCTGTTGTAAACATTCATATTTCTCTACGACGGCTGCCTAAAATGTGAAATTAACACATCTATACAAGTTAAACAGTTTAATATGAATGCAAAAAATAAAACATTGTAAGGCTCAACATATTTTGATGTGTTCTTCGAAATACGATAACTCATACAATATGTGTGGTTATGGGAGGTTTTGTGCACCAAACCAATCGTCACAGAATTATTGCGTAATTTACGTCAACGTTAGAGAAATTAAAGCGAAGTCGTAAAAAGATATAATTATCAAAAACGCCGTCGAAACACCTAACTAATGAAACGTCACGACGCAAAACGTGATTATACCGTAGTTATTTATTCCGCGTGCAACATTTAAATACTGTTACAATTTGTTTTGCAGCAATTTTTATAGGAGCCAAAAATCAAATAAATTACTTATTTCTATAAACTTAATGTAACCGCTAATCGATTGAAACTAGCATTTTTTCACGTCAGCTTTCCAATTTAGCAAGTATTTTATTTAGATATTTTTCAATCGACAAAAATTGAAAATAATAATTTTTCCACATACTCACATTGTATCCACATGCGAACTATCAAGTGGCAATATCTCGACATATAGTAGCAAAAGTTTCCACTTATAACAATGACCAACATCAACAAAGATTAAAATCAATAAAGACAATATTAAAAAAAGACCAAATTCAACAAAGACCAAAATCAATAAATGACAACAAAAATAAAACTAAAATGTGACAGAATTCAACAGAGACCAAACTCAAAAAATAAATATCAAACTCAATAAAGATTAAACTCTCCAAAGACATAACTTATGAAAGACAAACTCAAGAATTGACTCCTCTAAGACCAAAGTTAATAAAAGACCATACACATGAAAGACAAAATTCATCGGAAACCAAACTCAACAAAGAATTGACTCCTAAAAGACCAAAGTTAGTAAAAGACCATACACATGAAAGACAAAATTCATCGGAAACCAAACTCAACAAAGAATTGACTCCTCAAAGACCAAAAATAGTAAAAGACCATACACATGAAAGACAAAAGTCAACGGAAACCAAACTCGACAAAGAATTGACTCCTCAAAGACCAAAGTTAATAAAAGATTATACACATGAAAGACAAAATTCATCGGAAACCAAACTCAACAAAGAATTGACTCCTCAAAGACCAAAGTTAGTAAAAGACCATACACATGAAAGACAAAATTCATCGGAAACCAAACTCAACAAAGAATTGACTCCTCAAAGACCAAAGTTAATAAAAGACCATACACATGAAAGACAAATTCATCGGAAACCAAACTCAACAAGGAATTGACTCCTAAAAGACCAAAGTTAGTAAAAGACCATACACATGAAAGACAAAATTCATCGGAAACCAAACTCAACAAGGAATTGACTCCTCAAAGACCAAAGTTAATAAAAGACCATACACATGAAAGACAAAATTCATCGGAAACCAAACTCGACAAAGAATTGACTCCTCAAAGACCAAAGTTAATAAAAGACCATACACATGAAAGACAAAATTCATCGAAAACCAAACTCAACAAAGAATTGACTCCTAAAAGACCAAAGTTAATAAAAGATTATACACATGAAAGACAAAATTCATCGAAAACCAAACTCAACAAAGAATTGACTCCTCAAAGACCAAAGTTAATAAAAGACCATACACATGAAAGACAAAATTCATCGGAAACCAAACTCGACAAAGAATTGACTCCTCAAAGACCAAAGTTAATAAAAGACTATGTGCATACAAATGAAAGACAAAATTCATCGAAAACCAAACTCGACAAAGAATTGACTCCTCAAAGACCAAAGTTAATAAAAGACCATACACATGAAAGACAAAATTCATCGAAAACCAAACTCAACAAGGAATTGACTCCTCAAAGACTAAGTTAATCAATGACCAAACACATGGAAGACCAAACTCAACAATGAACAAACTTGTAAAAGACCAAACTCAGCAAATATCAAACTCAACATAAACTAAACTCTACAAAACTTGCCTCTTCAAAGACAAAACTCAACAATGCCCAATTTAATCAAAGACCAAACACATGAAAAACCAGACTTAACAAAGACCTTATTCATCAAAGACCAAACTCAACAAAAACAAGACTCGACCGAACTCGACATTTTCTAATGATCAAACATAAAGAAGACCAAGCTATTCAAAGACTTTGCACATCTATGAACAAGCTCACCAAAAACCAAACTCAACAGTGGCCAAGGTCAACAAAATGTCAACACGTCAGCTGCTTGTGTAAATGTTCTTTCTCCGAACGACGTACCTATTTTCTTCACGATAACGTTGAATTTATTATACACGTCATTACCAAATCAAACCAAAAGTATCAGAACAACAACAACAAAGAAAACAAAAACATAACTAACTAAATATCGCACGAGAAACTAGAAAGTGGAGCTCGTAAGAATGTTTTACACCACGGGGGCCTTTAAAAACCTCTTTCGTGTATTATCAGACATCGCTGGGTGTATTTTATGCATACTCGGTGGGCAATATGACGTGCCATTTAAAAGCTATCAATCATACAGGCTCTATCTCCCTGATTTACCTGATACCATTACATTTTCTGTCGCGCTCTGTTGCATTTTATTAACCGCGGTGGTCCATGGTGCAAACAGAACTAAATATTAGTAATAGAAACGTCTGCTTTATGTGAAGATTTTGCAATGAGAGTGCATAATTTTCATAAATGATTTTTTAACAAACGAATAAATGTTTCATTTCTTTCCTTTTTTTCTTTCAAGATTTAAATGGTCTTTATTCATAATGTTTTTAAAGCCTTGAAAGGTTTGTTTGAAATATTTGACATTAGCACGCACTTAAGATATAAAGCGTTCTTGTTATGTATGGCGAACAAATATAACAGCAGACGAATTTGAATGCAACGAATATCCCCACTTATTTTGTTTAACAAAATAGTTCTATCTAATAATGCACGTGAAACATAATACAGAACAATTCTAAAATCAATTATTACACATAAATGTATAAAGGATAATGTTTTTAATTAAGATGAGTCTATTACGACGTCTACATCTTATTTAGTTGTGACATATAACTTAAAGCTGAGGCATGCAATAAAAAAACTATTTTTTAAAGAAGGCAAGGAATTAGTATTTTATTAATACCTGTATTTGCCCTCCTACATGGTCAGTTTGAAACCATATCTACACTGAGCATAGAGCGAGTTTAATAAATATCTTTGCAACTAAACATGTAGGAAAAAGTTTCTATATAGATGATATCATAGTTAAACACTGGAACTATCATGACGAAACATCATTGAGATATAGATTAGAAAGGTAAGGACGCTACGGACATGCCGTTTTCGGTCGTCACTACGCCATGACGTAAGTTTTTAAGAGATTACAAGATGAAATTGACGTGACTTCTCATTGCGTTATCGTCAGATTTTTTTTATCTGAGTATATTACAATGAATGTGAGTTTCTTTCCTCACAATACAAAAAAAATGTTTATAAATCCTTTAAAATAATAATGTTAATTGTTGCATTTTGCATGCCGTTTTTTTTCTAAAATGTAAAGGCAAAGATGTTATCACGACGCGTGTAATACATGTATAAAGATATACGTTTTGAAAACATAGCACTTATCGAGTTCATGTAATAAAACGTAATATTTAGATAATGAAAAGCAAAAAGTACTTTTACACACAATAGCTGTGCTGTACTTTGAGAATTATGTCATATACGTGCAAAACTTCAATATGTCGTAACGTTAACGTAAAGTCCATGACAAACTGTACAATGTAACGTTCGTGTTTCTAATTCACAAAACTTCCTTCACACGTATAGTTTACATTGGTTTAGGCGACACATGGCCTACAAGTAAGTTATTAAACAAATTTGTTATACTGTAGACAGAGGGGACAAATGACAAATTTTATCTACATTTTAGTATCTACATCTTACCATTAACACTTCACAAATGGCGACTTCTTACCGGCAGACGAGTGAAAAATGTAAAATTAATTCATGTCCCAATCATTAATAGGTGGCAATGTTTGTACCTCAAATATTCACTAACACACGGTTATAATAGATGGATGGCACGATAACACAAATTAAGTAGTTTTAAATTACTTCAGAAAAAAAATAGTAGTTCGTTAATTTTGCATAAAAACGAAACAATGACATAAAAAAGTCAGTTTACAAGAATGTTGAATTAAAAAGAAATTCCAATTTTCTTAATTACCAAACACTGTTTTTGTATAGTATATATGTACAAGAGAGAAATATATATTTATTAAGTGACAATACTTTCATTTCAAAAACTAGTATTCATGAGCACCATTTTTTCTTACATTTCTAGCTTCTGTAAAAGACACACAAAAAAAAGATAATGCTAATAGCTATTAATTGAGACATCGTGAAATCTCTGCATAAAAAGCAAGTATACAATTATAATGGTTGGAATTTTGTTATTATTCTTCATTTCATTTATGTTCAGTAGAAAAAGATACTAGTCTTACATTCTTTGTGTGAATTTTTACCCTATTTTATAGGAGCTAAAAATAAATGAGCTTTTTTGTTACAAAACATCGTTAAGACTGAAAAACCAAATATCATGTCATACCTATCTATGTGTGACATTAAAATGTGCATTTAATCACTATTATGACATAATCTATAAATAATATTATTTAAAATGTCAAATAATAAAAACAGGAATGCATAAATGCAGCACAATTGGAAATTGCTCAACTTTATCATGAGAAAATACACGAGACCATTTTCGTACGGGAAATTGAAATAAAAAAAGTTTGCTCCTCCTTGGAGCAAGAAACAGTAAATAATCAAACATATATTTCTAAATGTGTGTCTCAAACCCGAAGTTATGGCAAGAAAAGATAAGTTCCTAACCCTCATAGTTATGTGCCAAAGTTCAAAAACCAATAGTTATTTTACTAAATTTACAAAGTTATGTAATAAAGTATGAATTCTCAAACACATAGTTATGTATACGAGTATAATAAGTTTCTCACATAGTTATTTAACTAGGTAAGTAACACTTCAAAATTTAATTATAGTTTAATTCAATATATACATGTAGTTTATAGAAAACTTTACAGTATATGAAAAAAATATTGTAAAAAAGGACAATCGCAAATAACTGAAACAATGTGAACTGCATTGTAAAATTTGATAAATTTGAATGTAATAAATTATACTCGATCTTTACAACGTTCATTGTAAGTTGGTATTGTCATTTTGAACTGTTTCATATTGTTGATATACAAAAAATATTTGTGCATGTATATTCTAAATTTAGAAGACTGTATGTATAAACAAGATAATGTATTCCCTTATGTCTGGAAAAAAATATATCCATTCTGTTCTGTCAACTCAATATCTATTACAAGAACCTGGTCATCTGAATGTAAACATGCGGCATGATGCCCTTTTATACATGTACATGTATATGTTTTGATAAAGTTTATATATCAATATTCCATAAGGCCATATGGCCCATGATGATATACAATGCATTATTTATGGCAAAGCAGTATATAGCATAAATGTATAAAATAATTGAAACATCTGAGAGGGCTTACAAATAATTACATGAACGCCATGTAGCATCCACAAAACTTGCTGATATGCTTAGGTATAAATTACTTTAATTACAGATATATTTTATATTAGTTACGCGTTCGGACAAAAAATGTGGAAAAGTGTTTGACTTTACTGAGGAAACCAACATACCGAACGAGAGTTTGTACTTTTTATTTTACCCTTAAAACTGTGCAACATAAAACCATATCTGTATAGTGTGCCATTTCCTGCTTAATTTAAAAATCCCTAAAATTTACCAAAATGAGTGCCTTTTTTTTCAAACTTTCCCTAAATTTTCTCAAAGCATTATAATTATAGCAAATCAATACCTCGTATATTAATTAAATAACTACAATTAAACACATTTTTCTTTTCCAAAAGTGATATTAAATGCATGTATACAAAAAAATGTGTTAAAAGAAAAAAATGAAACAAAAAGAACACGGACCAAAGTTTCATTGTACATGTAGCAAACAGTAGTTCTAGCCTTAAAGCGGAGGTCATGCATGAGGATGGTTATACCTTAAAGGCACATTATGCCTCAGAAATGAATAAATGTTTACTTCTTTGGTTATAACAACTTTTTTTCTATAATAAAACTTGTATCAACTTATATAAACTTTTTTTGTGAACTGTTTCATTAACAAATAATTTATATGCCTTAATTGAGTAGTAGGTACTTGAATCCAAAAAGAATGTCAAGGAAAATAATTTTTAAAGCTAGTCTAATTCTGTCTTTTGAGAGATTTATTATAAATGTCTAAATCTGTTAACAATTGTTATAGATCACCAAATTTTGATCACAACATTAAATAAGTCTGTTGAACAGATAAAAGTGTGCGCAATGTATTAGTTTTTATTTAAAGAAATATTCTGTGTTGGCTTTTTGAAAAAATGATGTTCATATGAAGAACGCGCCATTAAAGTGCCTTCAACTAGCAAACCTTAACTATACAGTTAGATGTTTTGTATGAAAACTTCTCTTAAGGCAAATGTTTTTATGTAGTATGACCACTTAAATTACACTCTAAACTTGCAGGGGTTACAGGGTCGACACTGCCACACGGACCTTATGCCTCGTGACTTCTAATTGCCGTCTAATAATGTAAAAAAAAAAAAGTAAAAATTTCGAGCCACGTGCATGGGAACACTAATTATAACATGCAATTGTTCTTCACCTCTTTTTCCTCTTCATATAATATTTAAAAATATTCAAAGATTTAGACACGTGTACGGTGTAAAGGTATCTTGTACTTCATCACGTAAGCTATATAGGGGGACTTATAAAAAACATCT